CCAGGCCGCCCCCACGGCCCTCCTTCACCCAGGGCCCTCCCTGGGAGCCTGACCGGCGGCCGCACTCACGTCATCCATGAGCAGGAGCAGGATGTTGGGGGGCTTCGGGGCGCCCACGGCCCCGAGCCCAGCGGCGCTCAGCACCAGCAGCAGCCGCCATCTCGTCACCGCGGCAACGGGCGCCATAGCAACCGCCCCCGGCGCCTCCAAGCCGGGCCAGCGACTGGAAGCGGCGGGCGCGCGGGCGACGTTTCCGGCCGGGCGGCGGGGCGGGGCCGAGGCGGCCGCGTGACTGGCGGCGGGGTCACGTGACGCGGCCGCCCGGGCCTCCAAGATGGCGGTGTGCGTGGCGGTGATCGCTAAGGAGGTGAGTACGCGGGCGGGACGGCGGGCTGCGGATCCCTGCCCAGGCCCCCGCCTCGCTCCCGCCTCCCTCCCTGCCCCGAGGGCTCCGCAAGAACGGGCTCTGCCGCGCCGAGCTGGGGGCGCTGCGGGGGAGGCTCCGCCCGGGCCCGCGTCTGCAGCGGCGGGAGGGTCAGCCCCGGGCGAGCACAGGGCCCCGGACCCCCGCTTGCGTCCCCCGTCCGTCCGCCGGCCCCGGCAGTTCTCGCTCCCGAGCCCGGCTGTCCCCTGGTGTACGTCCTGCTGCACTGCGCTCTCCCGCCCGGCCGCATCACCGCCCACTCCACGGCCCGCGGTCTCTCCACGCAGCAGCCCGGTGCTGTTTCCAAAACCTCACTAGAGCGTGTCACGCCCCGGCCCCAGATCTCTGCAGGGGCTTCTCATGGCCTCACGGTGACGTCAGAATAACTTAGTCGCCTCATCCCCTTCTCCCCTAGCCAAGCACTCCCACCACGCCAACCTGGAGCTCCTCTGACAGGCTCTGTTTTCTCGCCCCTGGGCCTTTGCACTTGGAAACCCACCGCCGTCTTCTCACGCTGGCCACCATAGATTTCATTTCCTCCAGAAAGCTGTTTCTGAATCCTAAGACTGAGCGCGGTTTCTTACTGCACAAAGCGTTGCTTTCTTGTGTCTTCTATAAGACCGGGCTTATGAGGTGGTTCTTATGGAAGTTCTTCAAGGGATGCCTTCTGTCGTAGCACATGACATGTTATTTATTTGTTGGGTTTGTGGACTGTCCTTCACCAGAGATCAGCCCCATTAGCATAGGGACAGCATCGTGTTTATTCTATCAGTGCAGCACCAGGCACGGGACAGAATCAGTGAATTGTGGCATGTGGGAGCCCTATGAAGACCTTTTAACCCCTCGGGTTAGGATGGTAGGAATTAGCCATGCAGAGATGAAGAGTGGTTTGAGCTGAGCCTGGACAGGGTTTAGTGAGAGGGCACGTCAGTGCTTTTGCCAACGTGAAGAGAGTGCAGTAGGTACGTATAGGGAAACAGCTAGTATTTATGGGCTGGAAGGAGAGCACGTGCTAGGACTGGGCCCTGCACAGAAGCTGAGTAACTTTTCCAGCTGTCTGGGTTGTTGTCAGGCTGTGCTCAGACCCACTGTTTCTGCCCCCTTAGTGATGCTCCGTGCAGACAAGAGGTAAACCTCAAGATTGACTGGGTTCCCCAAAGACACTGCCTACAGCACTTTGGAGGAGTAAGCAATGGGTTTTAGAGAATGAGAGTGTGTGTCCCTGTGGCTAATTGGCTCTTGGCCAGTCCTCCGTTCTGAGTGCTCTGGGGCCTCATCCTCGAGGCCTGTGTGCCCAGGGTGGTTTCTCAGCATTTCAGTTCCGGCATCCTTTCTTGCAGAATTATCCTCTTTACATCCGCAGCATCCCCACCGAGAATGAGCTGAAGTTCCACTACATGGTGCATACATCCCTGGATGTGGTGGACGAGAAGATCTCTGCCATGGGGAAGGCCTTGGTGGACCAGAGGGAGCTCTACCTGGGCCTGCTGTACCCCACAGAGGACTACAAGGTGTATCCTTCACACCTGGCGGGGGGGCCTGCCAGCTGGTGGTCTCTCTCCACAGGGTTTCACGTTTGGAGATCCCGCCTCCGGTTTCAAAGTGTACTGTAGGATCAGGTGACCTTGAAAGACCCAGTGTCGCTTGGAAAGAAAGTGAGAGCTTTCAACCAAAGGGAATTAGGGCAGCTTGAGGCTAATTGAGATTTCACACCGTTTTTTACTTGGGAGGATAATGTGGGAAAAGCTGGGCATGAATTCCCTGGAGAAGTGTGGCAGTCTGCATCTGTCCCTCGTTTGGTTTGCAGAAGAACCAGGAACCTTCCTCCTTCATGCCTGTGAGGACAGCTTTCCAGGCTCTGTCTGCTGGGCCACCACCTCTGAGCAAGGACAGTTCTCCTTCCATCACCAGGCCCAGCCCCATAGACCCCCGTCATAACTTGACCAGTCCCTTGGGACAAATGGCATGAAACCCATGGAGTGCAAAGATAGCCCCACGAGTAGTAATGTAGCTTGCCTTCCGTGACATCTGCCCGGGAGCCACTGTTCTACCAGATAAAGTGGCCTTTCGTGGCATGGGTGCTTTAGGCAGGGTCTGCCTGATTCTTGGGCCTCCAGTTTTGCAGTTAGCACTGCTGGGCCAGGAAGTGATTGAGAATGAAGTTGAGGTGCCCCAGGGTCTGGGCAGGTGGGCCCCAAAGCTTAAGTCCGAACAAGGCTTAGCTGCCTCCTGTAAATGCCAAAAGCTGCCCCAAGGAAGTGTGTGGTCCACCTAGTATGCCCGTGGGGTCCTCCCGGTATTGTGGGAGGTACCTGGGGTCCCTTCTGTGATGCAAGCTTGTCCTGTTTCTCCAAAGTGGCTTTGGAGCCAGGGGCTGTGCACAGATGGCCCTTGGCTCACACACCCTCCATGGTGGTGCCGTGCCTTGTGGTGTCCTAGAGTCCCTGAGTTAAATGCATGTTCCCTAACCAGCTGTGCAGGTACGGCTACGTGACCAACTCCAAGGTGAAGTTTGTCATGGTGGTGGATTCCTCCAACACAGCGCTTCGGGACAACGAGATCCGCAGTGTAAGTACCAGGGTGTTTGCAGGCTGTGCCTGGGCCGGTGCGTTTTCTCTTTTTCACTTTGTTTTCAGATGCTCAGAAGTCAGAAATTTGGCAGCAGCCGTGTGTACCCGTGAACTGACACCATTGGTTCTTGTCTCAGATGTTCCGGAAGCTGCACAATTCCTACACGGATGTGATGTGCAATCCCTTCTACAACCCCGGGGACCACATTCAGTCCAGGTGAGCTGATTACTGTGCAGACCCTTCCTTGCTGAGAGCCGTTGTTCTCAACGTGCGGGAGGGAAGGTCTGTTTCAGCGAGGGGCATCGTTCCTCTAAGGAGTGAGTGATTCTGAAGCAGCAGAACCCTGTTTTCACAAACTCTTACGTGGATATCCAACATATAAAACAGACGGGAGAGGATTGGGGGGCAGGGCAGGGCATAGACCTTGCCCTCTCGGTTTCCCAGGTATGCCCAGTTAGTCCGAGAGCCCCCACAGAACCCAGTAAGGGCCCAGGCATGTGGCAGGACCTTCGTGAGAAAACGTCTTCCTGTTCCTGCCCCGTTTGTCTTGGTCATTGAACTTGAATAGTTAGGAAATTGGATTGTAGGTTTCTTTCACGTAGTCCTGCAGTAGACACACGTGACATTGGGACATCACAACGATTGTATAAAGAAGCGTTTGCATGCACACATTCCACATCTGCTCTTGGGAATTCCCTACATGCCTACACGTGGTTCCCAAGGGGCTCCTTGTAGGCAGCAGGTGAGAGGATCCTGACCCGAGCCAGGCCCTTCCCGTGGCGCCTTCCCTCAGCCATGATGCTGTGTCTCAGTTCATCCTGGGCCCCAGGTGAGAGAAGCAGGTGCTGGTACAGAGAATCCCATGTGCAGGACAGGGACGGCCCCCGCCCCTCCACCCCTCCCTGGAGATCCAGCTCCGGCAGGACTATGGGAACCGCATAGGGCATGAGGGGGCATGAGACTTAGCTTCCCGCTGCCGGGGTGGCAGGACACTGGCCTCGCGGCCAAGTGTACCTGACTGGGGAGGGACTGTCCCAGTCCCGGGTCATGGGTGGTGCTGCAGAGCCCCAGCCGCTCCTCTGATGGCTGTCTCTGTCCGCAGGGCCTTCGACAGCATGGTGACGTCCATGATGATCCAGGTGTGCTGAGCGAGGTCCTGCTGCCGTGCTGGAGGAGAGGCCCTGTGGGCATAACTGTACTGCTCAGAGGGAGATTCATGATCATTTGCCTATTCCCCAGCGCCACAGACGGGCTGCTTGGGGGCAAGGTCTCAGGCACGGTGCGTGTAGACTAAAGGTCCTCTGAGATTGGATTTGGCGTTTTCCTTGTGTCAGCAGAGAGTTTAACTGAAGAGTGTAGCGCGGGCCTCTCCAGGATGGCGCACTGCTCGGGGACCAGACAGAACAGGGAGGCACGAAGGGACAGGGAGGGGAGGTGGGAGAGCCCACGGAGCTTCGGGCCCTAAAGATGCTGCAGCTGCAGGGGGAGCAGAGGGAGGTGCAGAGGGACTTGTGGGTGGGTCTCTGCTCCAGAGGCTGACCTGGCCAGAGCCAGATCTAGAGGGCCCTCCTTCCCCCCTCCCCATACAGCCCACACACCTCCCCCTGCACTGAAGGGAGGGGCCTTCATGTCTCCAGTCTTGCGCCTGGCCTCAGGAGCACCCCTTACAGCGCCAGGGAGCTTTGACTCGGCTCGTAGGTTGCCTCTGGCTTGCCGAGGATGGAGTGAGCAGTCCCAGAGGCCTCTTCCTCGGGGTGCACCTGGCAGTTCCTCACGGCCCGAGGGCCAGGCTGGGTTAGAGGAGTCCCCGCTCACTTGCTGCCCCCGCAGGCCCCCGAGCTGGCGGGGGAAGGGGGTCACATTTGGGATGGAGCTGGCGGGATTGGATTTCTGCACTCTGCCTCCCCGGAGGCCTGCTCAGCCAAGTCCAGGTGACAGTGCCTTCTGGGATCAGCTGGCCCAGGCTCTAGTACCCTTTATCATTTGTTTGGCACACTGGCTTTGAGTCTCGGCCCCAAGACAGCTGCGAATCCCTCCCTCCCCTTTCCAGCGCGCCAGAGAAGGCCTCTGACAGGAGGAGGGCAGCTTCGGGGCCCCTGGGCAACACAGAAGGCTGCTGGCGCCAGGATGAGACTTGCACACCTCTGCACTGCCTTCCCTTCTCCTCTGAGGAACACGGGAGTCGTGTTCAAAATCAGAGAAGTAGAGGGAGAACTCAGTCAGGAGTGGGTACTAAACACAGGTCCCAG